TTCCGAATGAAGACATTTTTAAGCATGTGATAGGTGGCTTTTTGACTAGAGTGTCCTCCCAATGGACTAGTATAAAAATGATCCATCAGCTTCTGCCTGATTCCAGCCTTTGACCCCACATAAATTTTGCCATCCAGTTTAAGAAGTCCATTTAAGAACCGTAATTGTTGATGATTGTCAGGTTCTAAAGTGGCTTGGGCAATCAACTGTTGCACTTCCTCATCCTCCATGTAGCATTCCTCAATTTGCTGGATCCAAAGAGGCTGTATAAGGGAGATGGCATTCATTACTTCTGATTCCTTGCACTCTGATGCTTCCTTGACAAACCATCTGCAGCAATGTTATCCTTGCCCTTCTTTTATTGAATTTCATAGTCCAATCCCAAAAGTTTGGAGAGCCGTTTCTGCTGCATCGTAGTGGTGATTTTCTGCTCCATAAGGAACTTCAAGGCTTGATGATCTGTTTTAATAATGAAATGATGGCCCTGTAAATAATGCCTCCATTTCTCAATTTCCATGACTTATGCTAGTAGCTCCTTTTCATAAATGGAAAGACCTTGATTCTTAATTCCAAATGCTTTGCTGAGGTAAGCGATGGGATGTCCTTCCTGTTTAAGTACAAACCCCCATCCCCAAGTCACAAGCATCTGTTTCTACAACTAAGGCTAGATCAAAATTAGGCAGCCTCATCACTGGAGCATTAGTCAGAGCCTGTTTCAACTCCAAGAAAGCCTTGTCAGCCTGTTCATTCCATTGAAAAATATCCTTCTTTAAAAGTGAAGTGAGAGGTTTGATGATCACACCAAAATGCTTGACAAACCTTCTATAACTTACAAGCCCCAAAAATCCCCTCAGTTCTTTGATGGTTTTGGGAGTAGGCCATTCTATAACACTAGCAATCTTATCACTGTCAACTTGTACACCCTCCTCAGAGATAATATGGCCAAGGTAATCCACTGAGCTCTGAGCAAAAGTGCATTTGGATTTTTTGGCAAAAATTTGATTCACCTGCAAGGTTGCTAAAATAGTGGAAAGATGATTCATATGTTCAATCAAGGAAGGACTATAGACCAGAATATCATCAAAAAAGACCAAGACAAACTTCCTTAAGTAATGCTTGAAAACTTGGTTCATCAATGCTTGGAAGGTTGCTGGTGCATTGGTCAATCCGAATGGCATAACCAAGAACTCAAAATGACCATGATGCGTTTCAAATGCGGTTTTTGGCACATCCTCTTCCTTCATTCTAATCTGATGGTAACCGGCCCTTAAATCAATCTTAGAGAAGTATTTGGCTCCCAACAATTCATCTAGCAGTTCCTCAATAACTGGTATTGGATATCTATTCTTTACTATATGCTCATTCAAATGTCTGTAATCAGTACAAAGTCTCCATGTTAGATCCTTCTTTTGAGTTAAGAGAACTGGTGAAAAGTAAGGGTTGTTACTTGGTCCAGCAGTGCCCTTAGACAACATTGCTCCACTTGTCTCTCAATTTCCTCCTTATGTGCATGTGGGTATTTATAAGATTTGAGCTTGAAGGGGATTGCACCAGGTTTCAAACAAATTTGGTGATCTACTAATCTAGCAGGTGGTAAACCAGTTGGTTCAGTGAAAACAATGTTGTATTTGTCCAATACTTGTACTATCTCCTCAGGAATAGCCTCATCAATGACTCATATAAATAATCTGAGTCAGGCTCATGATATGGGTGCCTGGTTCCTCTCCTTCTATCTTCCAATCTTCTCATTTCTTGTTCCAGCTGCCATTCTTGCCTTTTTCTCTTGTGATATTCCACACTGTCCATGACTGCTTGGATCCTCTTATAAGCCTCATAAGCTTCTCCTTGCAGCAAAAACCTTTCTCCTCTTCTGCTTAATTGAATAGTGAAGTTATCATAGTCAAAAAGTATGGGGCTGAATTTAGAAAGCCAATTGGTACCCAATATAATGTCCCATTCTCCTAAGTCCATCACTTCGTGATCAAAATGGACAAGTTTGGTCATTCCTGATTCTGTAACCTCCAGCCACTGCAACTGTGAAAGGTCTGACAGTCATGGTTCTAAAGCTCATTTTTCTGACCAAACCAGTATTGATGAAACTCTTGGAAGCACCTGTATTAATCAAAATCTTGACCAACTCCTGGTTGATAAAGCCAATGATGACTATGATCTCTCTATCTTCATCTTCCATTGCCCAGCAGCCCTCCATTTGGGTTATAGTCTGTATCTGCTCTTCTGGTAAAATCATGAGGCTTCCAACATCTAAAGCTTCTTCTTCAATGAAGTTCAAGTCACCAAATCTTCATCATCTTCAGCAGTAATCACATTTATCTTTTTTAACTTACAAACATGTCCAGGATCCCATTTCTCACCACATTTCCATCATATTTGGTTGTTTCTCCTGTATTGAATTTCTTGAGGTGATAACTTGTTGAAAGGCTCCCTCCTGTGGTTATTAGAGTTGTTCCTAACAACATGAGGAAGTCTAACAGGTGTATTGTAAGTTCTGCTGGTAATATTAGCCATATGCTTACTTTTAACTGCAAATTCCAAGGTCTTCTCTAGAACAGTGGCTATTTCAAATGCTTTTAAGACTGTGGGAGGTTCCAACAACCTCACCATTGGCTTTAATTCTTCCTTAAGGCCACTTATAAAGCTGGATATGAACTAACCTTCCTGTAAATGAGGATCTTTACACAACACCAAAGATTTTAACTCCTCAAATTTCTCATGATATTCCAAAACTGAATTGGTTTGTTGTAGTTTGTTAAATTCTTCTATCTCATTCGACCCCCTTTTTTTCCAAACCTCTTAACCAACCCTGATGCAAACTCATCCCAAGATACCTTCTCTTTGACTTTAATTAAACTTTGATACCAATGATTTGCCTTGCCATCAAGATAAAGTTCAATAGCATCTAATTTGTTATCATCAGAAACCTCATGGATACTAAAAAATTTATTAGATTTTCTGAACCAATCTCTAGGATTATCTCCACTGAAATTAGGCAGTTCTAATCTTGGTTGTGGCAACCAAACGTTTTTACCATGCTTATCTTTTTCTGAACTAAACACATCATCATCTAAGTGGATTCTAGAAACCCTAGTTGGTGTAGGAAGTAACCCCACTATAGAGGAAGAAGTTGGATTCTTACCTTGGTTAATCATCTCCTTTCTTTGCGCCACCATCATTTTCATCATTTCCGCCATCTACGAAGATAAAGCTTGGAAGGCTCTTGCCTGTTGACCTTAGATTCCAGATGAGTGCTCCAGCTAGCAAACCTGTCATCCATCTGCTTCCTCCAATCGTTCATTTCCAAGATCTGAAGGTCCTTTTTTTTATGTGCTCTTCTAAAGCTTTTGATCTAGTTTCTGTCAGCTTTACCTTATCAGCTATCGTTGACTCACGTGATTATCAAAAACTATCCAAGGAAAGACTAGCTCTGGATACCATTTGTGACGGATAGACTAGTATATTTAATTTTATAAAATTTAGAATTTAACCCTAAACGGCTAAACTACTTAGTATAACCAGAAAAGGAGAAAAAGAACCTTTCTTAAATAAGGAAGAAGACAGAATCAGCAAGAAAAAGAGAGAAAAGCAAAAGAAAGAACGGAGGGGCGTATGAAAGAGACAAGACAGAAAAGATGAGGAGGAATCTTCATTCATTCATTAACATAAGAAATAGTTTGTTGATTACACTCCATTTTATACTAATCTCAATTAGCTAGATAAACCCTAATTGATCTACTGCCGCACAGCTGTTAACTTGAGGATTCTTCTGGAATCGATCCTTATCACCATCTCCATGTCTGCATGGGAGCATGTGAGCCGTCAAAGGCAGTCTTCAGCTCCAAGCTTTCTCAAAAGGACACTACTAATAAAAATAGAAATTACTTAAATTAAGAAAATAGAAAAAGCATGACAGAGTCATTCCTTACGGGCTAGGCCAATGAGCCTTCATCAAGTCCAGGGATACAAAATTTAGATATATCTAAGGGACATACTATGACCCAAGTTGAAAGCATCAGTGTTTCATCCCCAAAGGAGTTTCACGAGGCAAAACCATCAGATGCACCAACCAACGAAATTCCTATTTTAAACCATGGAAAACACACCGTGTTCCTATCCCCCATCCAACGGCGGGATTGAATCGTCGGTCAAACAAGACGCGCCTCCCTTCCATCGACCGGAAACCCCCCGACAAACTCAATACTTTCCACATTAAATCCAAGTTCAAGGTCACGGGAGGCAAAGAAAAAATTAAAGATGTTTTACTGGAGGCGCTCAAGGACTTTGAAACAAGCAACAATTATTAAACCATGGAGGAGCAGCATTTCGATATGGAGGATGGCCGCATCTCTAACCTGGAGCAAGAGGAGGAAACGCCTAATGCCACCAGGTAAATCCAAGTCAAAATTTAAATGAAGAGATTTCTGTTGGTTTGTAATTGCTTGATTTGAAGTGATTATGTTGATTGGTTGTGATTGCTTGATTGGAAGCAACTGAGACGATTGGGTTGAGGTGATATTGAAGCAATTGAGATGTTCCTAATGGCTAATCTGCTGTCTGTTATTGAATAGAAGGGGTATATAGATCTAGGCTGCTATCATGGATTATTATGATACTTGAAGAATTTAATGGCTGATGTAATAGTATTGTGATGGGTTTGAGCAAAATATCGCTTATATATTGTAATTTAGGCTGTTTAGCCTCCTCAGTATGAAAAAAGAAAATCTAAATTTTACCGCTAAATTTTAAAAATTTTAAAGTCTTGCCTCTGTAAAATTTATATATATTGTTTTTGCTCCACCTATTAGCGAGGGTCTTGGCTCCATCGCTAAGTTTGTGACTGATAATTAGGTTCGGAAAAAGTAGGTTTTTCAAATTTCAACTGTCTTCTATTATTAGTGGCATTGAGTGGAAAAACTAAAATTTTGAAATCAAAAGCTAAAGTAAGAAAATCTCATAATATATGGAACAAAATGTTGTACTACAAGTTATTCCAAGAATATGATGATATTGGCTCTACAAGAAGCAACAAATAATTTTAAAGCCATCTCTTAACCAGCATAAAATCGGAATTTTACTGGTAGAATTGGGTTGCTTGAATTTCAAAAGTCAAACCACATTCATGAAATTTTTCTTCCATGACCTTTTGAAGCTTTTCTGCCATGGAAGGAGTTAGACAATTGACCCAGTCACCAACTTCTCCTTTCCTGAAAAATGAACTATTTTTAGCAACAAACCTGATTTCAGTCTCCCCTTTCGTATTACATTCCATATTCATAAGACTCTCTAAGCTACATAACTTGCATATTTCTTCAACTAGACCAGCTTTTTCTTCCTCAGCTGAAAATGGGCACCCAAGAAACTCAGCTATGTTCCTTGTAGAACTGTTGATGTCCCTTTTAAGATCCTCAAACTTCAAGAACAATATTTTTTGAGGATTCTTTGAGCTTGCTTCCCAATACCCAATAATTTGATCCCAATATGGACCATAAAGAACTTTTCCCCCACTAAATGATTTGAGACACCTATGCATAGCCACTGGTTCTAAAAATCTGGGCACAAAACCATTTTGCTTGGCGAAATGCAACAAAGAAGTGAAGGAATCCAAAAGGTTCCTACAAAGATAGATGATGCGACAATTGGCCAAATCATCCAGTATAAAACTAGGAAGGCATTGATAAGGAACATGAGTCGCAAAGATTCGCGGGCAAGAAGCCGAGTTAAGGTAGTCATTAGGAAGTTCACCCGACTTGTACATATTAGTCTCTAAGAAAGGAATGAGTTGATGAGGGCTTGTGTGGAGTAAAGGGCTTTCTTCCATCTGGTATTTACCGCGATTAACGATACTGAAAGTGAGAGCTTTCAGCCATGTTGTGCCTGATTTCGGCAAGGTGGCCAGTATGATATCTGTATCATTGGCCTGGAAATGATTCTGAAAGGTTATTGTGCCCTTAAGTAACTGTTTGTCAAACCAGAAGCCTTGGTAATTAGCTAGCAAATAACCTAGGGCCTTCTCTTTGTGAAGCTTTCGAAATAGTTCCTCAAATTCTTCATCTTTCTTGTCCATTTCCTTCTTTAAAAAAATGGATTTAGAGAAGTTTGACAACTATTCCATTTTTTTTTTTGGGGGTGGTTAGAGAGAAAGTGAGAGCAATTTCAACTGATCTATGCAATTGCCATATTATCTAGTATATTTATATATAGATATCTTTTCTTAGGTCAACTTGAAGGTAACACATAGTTTACGCATTGATTTTAATCTAATCAGAATATCATATTGCACCGGCCAAAATTCAAACAAACAGCCATGCGGCCTCTATTCATTAATCATTTCTCAATTGCGTTCATTAATCGTTTCTCAGTTGCGTGGGCTCATGATTGCTTCCTTTGACATCCAACAAGGAATATATACTCACCCGATTTTAACGCGTGTATTGTTATTTTATTTCTGAAGTTTCATTCAATAATTGATTAGAAAATCTGTTAAATTATTCTTGCTGTCTACGTTAATAAATTTCACTTTATTAAAATTAATTATGTCCAAAAAAATACTCTTTATTGCAATGCAACATGAACAGTATTGCAGTTTACACGATTTTAGTTTTGGCATGTGATAAAACAACGAAGATTGAATGACTCATCGTTATCGAGTCCTACAGATTGGGCCAATCTCATAACGAAATAATAAATTCTGCAAAGATAGTTGATGGGGCAATTGGATCATTGTTTTATTGGGCTTTAATCAAGTTGGTCCAAATATCAAATAATATCCACTAAAATTTATGTGTACTCATGTGCTAAGAAATATTCTTATATTCCCTTTTGGCTCTATAAAAGGAGTACCCAAGATATTTATTTTTTATATTGTTCTCTCTCTATACAGCATTTAATAGTCTTTTTTTGTCTCATTAAGACTTCTAACTTAAGCATTAGAATGCTAACTCTATTTTGCAGGATATTTTAGGGATTATTAACACTCACTCGTGGACTGATTCAAAGACACTCCATCAATAGTATATGTGATTCTACATGGATGAGCAAAATGAGGTTGTAACGCTCATAGGGATATTTCTTGGTTTTTGTATGGGCGAAAAATTGACCTTTACATATTTCAACAATGCATTTTTTTTTTCACTATTTCAAAAAAAAATTTCCATCCAACACAGCCTGCACGAAAATATTATAGTTCCTCTTACGACGTGGAAAGTGCCATTTCAGACCTCAATCCTCCTGGATTTGTCAAAGCTAATGCCTTTCAGAATGAATTTTATTTACTTCCTCCCTCCCTTCGGTCTTATTTCAGTCACAAAATCAAAGATAAAATTTGGTTCATACTTTTGTAGAGGGAGCTATTGTCAACCCTCCATTGATTTGTCATAGCTTGTTATTGTCTTTAAGACTACGAATAAATTTTTATTTAGTTAAAATGGTCCTTATTGATTTGTCATAGCTTTTTATTGTCTTTCAGAAAGGTTCTTCTTTAGTAGAACAAGTATCTTTGTCTCTAAAAAATAATCCAAACTAACTTTACTCTTCTTATTAGAGTAGAGAATTATTTTTTTAGAACGAAAAAAATAGTAATAATGTAAATCTCTCTGGATAAGGAATTTGTGCATATGATCCCAGTCACATTAAAAAACGTAGACCCTATTGATGAAAAGTTACTAATTAAAACAAATTTTTTTTGTCGACAATATCAAGTTTTTTAATCAACTAAAAAAGATGGGTGTGGAAATTATGATTATGTCCTTGTGATTTCAGAAAAAGAATTTGATTATGTTATAATAGCTGGAATGCGGCTCAAATGGAACGGCAGAATAGGACTACGGGTTAAAATAAAAACAATGCAACCACCAGCATCATTTCCGGACCATAACCAACCATTGCCAAGGCAGCAGGTCTGCCAGTTGTGCACAAGATTCCAGCACCAAACGCCCAACGATGTCATGGAGTGCAAGCAGCACATATATCTATTTTTGCAACTACGACAAGACGAATGCAAGAATTCCAATGTGTACCAATTATTCAGACTAACATATTATCATGGTGAACCCCATAAGGTACATGGTTATCCAAGATGTCAGGCAAAATATTGAAACCCTGGTACAACCTACCTGATGATCTATCTATCTTTCTGCTGAATGGGACAAGAATAATGATATTATGCACAGTTAAATAATGATTTCAACCCGAGTTGAAGCATCAAATTTTAAAAGAGTAGGAGAGATCTTGTTCAACAAATTTCTATACAGCAAACTTACCACCCTGATGTCAGATTCTCAACACAGACCAGCAGTTTATCAATTTTGATAGATAAATTACCAGGTTCAAGATGCCAATCTATGGGACTGTTCATCGGAAGCTCCAGAGAAAAAGGCATCTCAACAAAAAGGACTGTCCCTGAGTTTTCAGATTCTCTAAACTCGGCAATGCAGGTTCTCCCATAGCCGCCTGACTCATAATGACGACAGCTTACTGTGATTCCCTGACCCGGCATCTATAAATATGCTAAATAGTTCATCAGATTGGGTAATGGACCTTTTCCTTCTTTGGGTGTCTATCAAACAGACCACCTCTCCGACCTAAATTATCAACAGATGAACCATACCACCTGAATCTGTTAATACTTCACTACCTATCATGGTACACCTGTTCTGTGGATGTTTCTACAGAAAACCACGACGAAAGGGAGGCTTTGCAGATCTTTTTTTGACAGATTCCTTGGCCTCTCCGACTGCATTCTTCGATGTAACAGTTTTTGTTTCTACAATAGAACTATCATGGTGCAATTTTTCTGTCATCCCTAAATGATTTTCCATGGCAGCTGAATTCATCTCCAGCAAGTCAGGAAGAACCGGAGGCTTTACCTTAGGTTCTTTTTCAGATTTTCTAGCTACATCCTGAAAACCATTTGAAAGTTGAACCCCGTTTGAAGAGAGTAATCTCAACGCACCGTTCCCAGTCTTATTCAAGGAATCAGGAACTTTTGTTGCTTCAAGAACTTTACTAGAGCTAGAATCCACAGAAACATCAAGGAGCATCTGTTCTTTGACTTCAATATCATCAAGGAGCATCTGTTCAATATCATTTTTAAGGAAACCCGGTCGTAAAAATGTCTTTACTTTTTGTACAGAGCCATTCCTAGGCTTATCCAAGGAATCAGGAACTTTTGTTGCTTCAAGATCTTCACTAGAGCTAGGAGCCGCAGACGCATCGAGGAGCATTTCTTCTTTGACATCAATATCATTTTGAATGACCACTGAATCGTTTTTGAGAAAGCCTGGTCGAAAGAATGGCTTTACTTTTTGTACAGCGCCGATCCCTGGCTTATCCAAGGAATCAGGAATTTTTGTTGCTTCAAGGTCTTCACTAGTGCTAGGAGCCGCAGACACATCAAGGAGCATTTCTTCTTTGACCTCAACATCATTTTCAGCGACCACTGGCACTGAGTCGTTTTTAAGGAAACCAGGTCGTAATATACAAGAATATCAATTATTTTCCAAAGAATTTACAACCACCAGGGAGTGACTGGATAATTTTTCAAACTAAACAGCTTATTTAGAGAATTTTTCCAATCTTATGGGTAGTCAGGTACTTTACTTTGTTTAAATATAAGGTTCTCTGACATTCCAACCCTTAATAATTTTAGCTATAAGCCTACAACATAAGCTCAGTTAAACATGTGGCCAACAAAATGGGATATAGGTGGATGCCTAATTTTTTTGCAGGTATAACTTGATTTTGAATTGTATTTATTTATTTTTTCCTTTTATGTATAATTTCTGTTCTTTTAACCTAACATGTATTACATTTACAGATTGGGCTTATGAGCGAATCCCAAGGATATGCCCCAAGAGGAAAAACCTGGAAGACGACGATGACACCTTGGCCTTAGGTTCGAGGTGGAGGGGTTCATTGGATTTTTCGCAGGTGGCCTCCCACTGTCTCCCAGCACAACGAGATCAACTCGCGAGCCTTAGGAAGGCTGAAGATGTAAGGCTTTCTAATTTTATATTTGATTAATTTTTTTTCGAATGAATCTGAAAATTTTCTTTTATTATATAGGATGGACTTTTTTTTATTATTTCTGTCCTTTTTTCTTTTATTATATCAGCTGGACCTTTTTTTTATTATTTTTGTCCTTTTTTCTTTTATTAGAACATCTAACATTTCCTATCAAACAAAATGGACTGTGTTTCATTATGAACTTATGATAGTTGTATTAGAACAGTTGAAATTGTGGCTTATTAGAACATATAGTTTTTTCTTTTATTAAGATAATCTGTATTTGTAATCAGCTGGTCTTAATTTTTAACGAACTTTGCTTGATTGTGGTTTATAAGCTTGATTTTGTATTCTGTTATGTTTTGTTTGGATTAGTTGTGGTTTACAAGCTTGCTTTTGTATTCTGTTCTTGGCTTAATACTATCATTATGTTCTGTTTTGTGTTTCAGTTTATTTGGCAACCTTATGAAGGAGTGGAGATACCTAAAAGATGTACACGGTGTCGGGATCATTGCCAATCAAACACTTGGTTAATTTGCTTGGAGACCATTGAACCGCATTGTGTTGACCTTGTGTTGCGACAATTTGGCTTGAAACAGTCGATCCCACCACAACCACTAATTGCTAATTGTGAAGAATGGGAAAAGTTGTACAAGTATGGTAGGACTGGAAGAGTTAGGGTTAACTGGGAGTTTCATGATCGTGAATACATCGAAAAATGGAACAACAGGGCAGGCACCGTTGTGGTTGGGTCTCCGGTTAGTGGTCAATCCTGAACCGATGATAATTATCTCTCGTGGTATGAAACCAAGACCATCAATTATCAAGAATCCCAATAAGTACAACTTTCAGGAGGAAGGGTATCGTGAGCATTCGGATCACGCAAAATTCTATGTAAGTATTCTTCTTTTTATTCCTAATCTTCTTTTTTTTTTGGTTTAAAGCTGATTTCTTTTTTTAAGAATTTTTAGGTTTGTTATTTTTTTAATTACATTTTTAATGGTTAAATTGATTCTAGGCTGATGCTTTGAGCGACGTCTGCAAAAAGATAGAAGACTACAAGAAATCAGAAGATGTCTGCCGAAATTCAGTATGTATGAATCTCCTTCTTGAACTCACTGCTCATGCTATGAGTGCTTTATCCCTTGCAGCACATGAGATGCCAATTTTGAAACCCACCCAATCACTTGTTGATATTCAACGACAACCTTCTCAATCGGTTGGTAAAGTTCGCAAGCGAAACATTCCTCACCGTAGGATTGGAGGAGGCAGGCAGAAAATCGAGGAAGAAAAATAACCAGAATATGACCATGGGATTGGAGGAGCCAGGCAGAAAATCGAGGAAGAAGAAGAACCAGAATATGATTTTAAACTCAATGCCGACTTGTTTCAAACTTCAACCCCCCAGTTTGAAGACAAAGCCAACCAAGAAGGTGAACCTACTAGTATGGATGTGGATATTACCCCGCCCTTGAAGAAGCAATCTAGTCTACCTTCGGCATTAGTAAGGCCGCATAGAAACATAAAGAAAGTCAACTGCTACACGCCATCCACAACCCAACTCAAGCCACCCCTGGAGTAGGAATAATTCCTTCATTTTGTCATTTACCTCTTTTGATGAACGTTGGGACTTTCGTTGATGTAGTTTTTTATTTAAATATGTTACAATTACAATATTTTGTTGAATTGATGTGTGAGTTTAGGGTTTATATTGATGCTGCTGTCTTGGTGTTGTTTTGTTGCTGGAATGTAGTCTGTTTTCTGTCTTTTTAACAGGTTTGGCAAAGCATGCCAGTTCTGCGTTTTTTTTTCTGTTTACTGTCTTAAAAACGAATTTCGAATTTTCATTTTTAGTTTTCTAAAAAAAATTAATACAAAACGGATTTTGTGTTTCCGTTTTTAACTTCGGAAAAACATTTAATTCACAATTTCTTTTTCTCATTTCCTTAAATAAAATTTACAAAAGAAAAAACGAAAATGTTAAATCCGTTTTCATTAATCAAAACAATTATGAAATCTTAATTTCATCTAATTCTTTAAAGACGGATGTTCAAAATCTGTTTTATGCACAGTGCACAGAAAAACGGAAATTCAATTTCCGACAAATACTTTTTCTGTCCACTCTTACAGTTTGCCGTATTTCAGTCTTCTTCTTTTCTGAACATATTTAGGTAATTGACTCGTAATACTTTCGTAGTCCAACTAGTGTCTTATGTGAATTCAAATAGCATGACTTTAAATACCATCCGTTATCCATATCTTTGGGCTTTGAAAAAAACAGAAAAAGACTAAAATCTTTTGTAGCAAACAAAAAGTAAAAATAAATTGTATTATAATACCTCCACAATATATGGCTTACGAAATAGCACTTCAGCGATTGTAACTTTTTGTCATGTAAGGCATAAAAACAATAATTCAAGAGGATTATTTTTCTCCTTTAGAGTTTCCCTACATGTTTTGGTCCCATCTTATGATTATAGTCATCCATCGGCAATCGCATGAGCTTATGTCTTTCACAAAGGCCACTATTATTGTAGTTTATTGATTATATTTGGTCTTGTGGATGATTCTTCTTAGTTTATACAATAATTTTTTCTCTTGGTTCCGATATGTTTGGTTATTCATCTTGTGTTTATGGTGACACCTTCTTATATTAATAATAAATTTTCACCAATTGATATTATGTGCCCTCAAGCACAAGTGATCTTCGGTCTTTGCATTTAATCTACTAAGCGTCATTTGTACTTGATCAAATAAAATTGATACACAACCCTTCTACGGATTCGAAACTGGCGAGTCAATATTGAGTTTGATGGTCGTCAGTGATAAAAACTAGAAGATAACACGCGATAGTTTGGCCATCATCACTCTATACAAAATTTGCAGTTGATTAATTGTTTTTTTTCTTTACGTAACTTTAAGGTTCACAACATTATGTACTTGAATTTCTCGTATTTTATATTTTAATCTTCCTATTAATTTGCAATTACGTATTACAAACACAACGCGCGTCGAATTTAACTAGTGTTAGATAGTGATTGGCCATAAAGTGTAGCATTGGCTAAAAAAATACAAGGGGAGATTTCACAAGTAAAGATTATTCACCAATATCCCTTTTTTTTGTTTCTAACTATAAGCTTTTTTTAAAGTTAAATCCAGGAACATAAAAAAAATAATAATTAGTAGATCTAATAACAGTAGCTAATCTAGAACTAAATATTACTGGGGCCAAACTATATTAATGAAAAACATTGATTTTTACATAGTGCCCGCAAAAGTTTAATTTGATATTATTAAAGTTCAAATATTTGACATAAAGTTTCTTTTCAATAAACGAATAATATAGAGATTAAGATTTATGCACCCCATTAAATATTATCTAGTACTAACAAAATTTTTTTGATATCACAATCTAAATATTTTATGTACGCAAGAAAGAATTCACTTTTTTCGATTTATATGACTTTTCTTTATAAGATTCTCCCAATAAAGCCCAAGACTTTTGTCCAAAATTTAGAAATATTTGATTAGGATATGAAGAAAATTTGGGTAATAATAAAGGTGTTAGATGATATGTGGTACGGTGGTAGATGATTCTACTAGACAAAATTAATGTGTATCTCACTAGTTTACTTTGAAGTCAAAATAATTTATAATTTTATGAATTTTTTTCAAAAATAATTTATGACCTAAAGTATAAAGATTTCTCTTTTAATTGGAATAGTTTTAATTGGCCCAACACATAATGAAGAGAGAACAATATGTGCAAAATTCTAGGCCAAAATTCAAAAAACTCATAAATTAAACTTAAAATTAAAATACAATAAGTACATTAATAATTAAAAATATATACATATATAATAATAGATTAAGGAAAATAAATCCTTAATCATGTCTAATAGACATTATGCTTAAGACTTACGAAAATTTTGATTCAAAATAGAAAACAAATAAGAAAAGCTATCTAGGAATTAAGGGGATGCCTGGTTCACCCAAAAATGCAACAAGATGGAATAAATCAAGATGGGATTGAATTAGTATGCTCTGTCAGGATTTTCACTATTAATGGGATTCAATTGAAATTCTACTTTTACCCTTAGATTCCAGTGACATGAGTTCAGAACAACTCCGGCCGAACTTCAATTGAGCAATCCATGGACTTTCGTTGCAGATTTGCATGTGATCGGCGGCCTTGATTTTTTATTTTCCATCGGCTTTAGTTTATATTTCTTTCGTTTGTGAGAGGTTTTTTTGAAAATTTGTACCCGCTAATCACAGGATTGAATAATCAAAGATTTCAGCATGACAACAAAAATTTAGGAAACATGGTTTAGGTGATTAAGGGAGATGAGGAAGCTTGGATTATTTCTCATAATAAAGAAAAAATGGTAAGATTTTG